ACTTGTCAAAAATAAATAACAGGAATTTTGATGATTTCATATCGGCAAAGGAAAGATTATTATTTCAAGAATTATGTAAATTGTTCATGAAGAGGAGTCGATCCATGAAACGCATCATCATACCTGATACCATCAGATTGGATGGTATCATCGGGGAGATACCATACATCACTCGTTATGATGGGGCGAGTAGATGTCTGAAAGGATTAAAAGAACTTTATTGTTATTGGAATTTTAGTGAGACTTTTTATAAATCCATCCTCCAAATTTGTAAAAACATACAAGTGATTAAAATTTATATCGATGCTTATTATGATGTGGATTCTTTGGCTAGCTTAATCTCTTTACAGAATAATTTAAAACAATTGAAAATAGAAGTGCAAGAAATCATCGTGGGAAGTATTATATCAAATGATTATTGCACCCCCTTATTTAATTCGATTTTAAAACAAAGTCATTCTATACAAAAGTTGGAATTGGTTAATTTCTCCTTTCGATACGCTGATGGTAAAACTTTAGAAAGGTTAATCGATTGTAAATATTTAAGATTCTTATCAATTTATCAATGTAAATTCTTGGAAAATCAACAATTTCGTTCAATAGATAATTTTCAAAAGTTGGAAGAATTTTATTATTGTCATAGGGATGATGACATCTTTCCTGAAGAGTTACTCGTAGGGATATTTCAAACCGCGAATACAAGATTAAGAAAAATTAAATTATCCTATCACACGGTAAAAGTTATCTGCGCAATCACTTTCAATTGTTTGAACGTAGAAATCTTAAATTTATCGACTCTTCCTCTAAGTCATAAAATCATCTTGAAAATTTTCAACTCTTGCACGAGGTTAAAACATTTCACTTTTGAAGGTGAGAGGGGTAATAATGAGAATAATATGTTAATTCAAATGAGCAAATACGTTCCCATCACTCTGGAGACTTTGGAAATTAAAATGTATTTACAAAATCCTTGGGTGTTCTCTGCTACTTCGTTGAAGGTCTTCTTGGAGGCTTCAAAAAGTTTAAGGTTATTAAAAATCATTCATAAAGAACCTCAACAAACGTTGGATCAACAATTCTCTAATCCTTTGACCCCGAGAAATTCTTCCATGAAAACTCTATCCAAGGATCATTTTGCTGTCATTGAAGAACTTGGTATAGGACTTTACATGTCAAGTGGGATAAAGTTTAGCAAAAAATTATATCCAAATTACGTCCACACCATAGTGATCCCTTCCAAAAAATAAGGGGCCATCAAATGGTGGTGGTTATTATAATCTATGGTGCTTGGACGATTCTTGGAGGGAAGGGGTGGGTGGGTGAAGGTAACGAAACTTCGAATTAATTTGATAGTAATTTCAACATTATTTATACCTATATGTACACTTTTTTTTTTTTTTTGTAATTTTTGTAAGATACGTTTGTGAAAAAATTTTTTTAAAAAACAGGGAATAAAATAAAAAGGGAAATAAACAAATTCAAGTAACGTGATATTGACGTCATCGTATCAAATTTATTTAGATGGTTTTCTCGCTCTTCAATTGATCTTCACTCCTTTTTCGCTCGAAAATATTTCGTTTTTCGTGTATAATTATAATATGAACCCTCATCCCGTATCGAACACCTTTATATGGGAACTTGGCAGTTTTCAAGAATATGTTAAAACAATTACTCATCAAAATAGAATTTATTCTCCAAAATTCTGGTTACCAACTTGTGATATCTCTGATCGCCCAAGTGCCAACCCAAATATCATTAAAAACAACTACACCCAAAGCAACAACCAACCAAACTTCACCATTACAAATGATAATATTTTGAACGCGTCACAAGCGACTCCCAATGCGTCAACATCCGCATTATCATTCTCACCGGGAGATAATCCAACATCACACAACTTTTGGCAATTTCGTATGTATCCAAATGGAAACGTTAGTCACGAAAATTATATCTCGCTCTTCTTAAAAGCGATCCAAACACCATTCGAAAAGTTAAGTAATATCACTTCAAGACGACAACAGTTCCTATTGGAAATAGGAAAGTTGGGTCCAACGACGATAATAAGTAATTATAACATAATTCACGTCCCAACAAGAAAACAAATCATTAAACAACAAATTTTTGAGTATACCTTTGAATTCGATAAGGAAAATATTACTTGTGGTTTTCCTAAATTTTGTTCATTGGATTTATTATTTCCCAGTGGTGATAAATCAAATGAAATCGATTTGTTCGTGCAAGTGACCGTGCTTAGTGATGATTCCTCCCGATCAGACATATTGTTATTATTGGATGAAGATACCATTAATAATCAACAACAGCAAGATGAATGTGACATTGAAGAGATTTATGATATTGAAGAATATTTTAAGAATGAGTCATTCGCTGATGTAGAATTCTTATTTGATTGCGGTTCAACGTTGAAAGCCCATCGAATCGTATTGGCCACCCGATGCAGCTATTTTAAAGTGATGCTTCAAGGTGGATTTAAAGAGGCAACCCTTGATGTAATTCCCATTCGTGATATAAATTATGAGGTCTACCATATCATTTTATTTTACATTTACACGGGAAAATTGAAGAATCTCAATGAAGTGAATTCCTATGAGTTATTGAGGGATTCTTACAAACAATCTGATTTGATGGGGTTGATTACTTTGAGTGGGATGATTTCCAAGCTCATTGTAAAGTTGGTCAATGATGATAATTGGCATGAAATATTATCCTTGGGCTGGCAATTTAATGATTTACTCTTGAGAACGAAAGGATTAAAGTACGTTAAAGAACATTGGGAGATTATTAAATATAGTGATAACTTACGTCAACTTTTGGATGATTCGAGCGTTGATTGGATTGAAGAGCTGATCTTGGTGGCAAATGGTACTGCTCATATGATTAGATAAAGAGTATTAATGGGAGGTGGTTCTTTTTTTTTCCTTTTTCATACAGCAAGCACATTTGAATGATTGTTGCCAATAGCATAGCGTGTATAATTTTACTATGATAACCTTGTAGTACTAGACTTTACAATTTTTTTGCTGTATTATCGTTTTAATATAAAAAATTTTATTGATAGAATTATACAAAAGTTTATCTTAACATTTTGTTTAAATAATCCTTGCGTTTCTATACAAGGTTAATAAGCTAGAAATACACGCACCCAATAAATCTTTAGAATAATTAGATTAACCAATAATTTAAAAATAATGTAACCAATAAACATCATCTTAATTTATTTGAAACACCTTCCTCCTATCTATTATTCGGAATTAGTCAATGGTTTAATATATTTTTCCCAATAACTAGGCACTCCAATACAATCAGGTGCTGCTCTCATGATATTAAAGTAAGCTATTAAGGGCAAAGGAAAAAAAATAACAAATGAAAAATTAATAACAAATGAAAAAAAAAAATTAATTGTATAAATGCATCCAAAAGTATATACACGATTGTTTAATACCTGGATAAACATCACCATCAAACTTTCCAAGAGGAGCTTTCAGAATAAAGTCAGGGAATCCCCAGGAGTCAACAAGAGGTATACACTCCTTCCTTATCTCCTTACACAACTCCAAATAACATTTCTTTATCATTTGAACTTGTTCTCCATTGAAATATCCTCTTTCCAAAAACAATCCCAACGAGTCATGAATTAAATGTATGGCCCATAGATTTCCTAATTTGATCAATATGGGTACTAATGCTTTAAATTCGCTGGTTGTTGATTTTGAATATTCTTCAATGGCTTTCATGTATTCTGATAAGGTAAATCTATATGAATATAACTCTCCTAATTTAACCGCATCAACTTGATTATTATTCCATGTGGTCTCTTCATCTGTCGTTGATGAAGCTATATTGGTTGCAACCGTTTCAATCTAAAAAAATTTTTTTTTAGATCAATTTTATTTATTTATTTATTTATTTTTTTTTTTTAAAAAAAAAAAAAGATAGTCTTTAAAAAGTTACCGTTTTAAAACAAAGCCAAGTGTACATCTCCAATGTATAGTTTAGATTCAATAATTGACTTTCATCAGACAAAGTACTTTTTGTAGATGAAAGTATTTGTTGAAAATTATTCAAAAATTCTGCGGAACCAATAATTTCGCTGCCCCGAGAAACTTTTCTAAAACACCCCAAAAGATATCTCTACAATAATATCGAAAAAAAAACTTTTGAGTACATGTTGATTATCATTCTCTATAAAAATTCAACCAATCATAAATACCGCAGTTTGTTGTAGAAGAACATAATTATCTCCTCCGCCTATAAATAAATAGATCAATAAATGAACTGAATGTTATATGCATGATGTGCACCATTCTGACCTTACCTGTAGTAATGACACCCCAATCTCCAATAGCTCCACCGATAGCATTATAAGAAGAATAGGCGTGACCTCCCAAAGATCTACGAACTCTTTCTAAAACTTCACACCCCCACCACGAAATAGTCGCCTTCAATCCCGTTGATATTGCATGCATATCAGGTAAATGTGAAGCAAATTCTTCTTGATTTGTTTGTGCTAATTTCATAATTCCAAGCCATTTATTCATAATCATCCTAAACAAATATTATATATCACTTCATATAATTAACTTTATAATAATAATAACAAAGAAATTATTGTGGCTACTTGTTTGATTACCTATTAACAATTTCTATGACGTAAGTACTAGCAACGCAAGGCATCAGCCTAACGTAATGAGATTGATAATCCATAATTTGTTCGTCATTAGCTCCTTGTCTTCTAACACATCCATACCTACAGGCGATGGTAAGAAATTGTCCAAAAATATTAACAGATTCCGATAATACTGTAAGTCTTTCTCCAATTAATGGAGAATAAGATATCTCAGGATTCGCTGAAGGAATATATTTTCCTTCTTGAGTAACTTTAGCCCACTTCATCAACATATTTGTTCTTGGAATACGTACATGCGAAAACTGTATCCATCCATTGTCCAATCCATTTCTTCCATATTTTGCCCCTATATCTCCTGCTGTTACTCCTGGCAATAATCTTCCATTTTTTTGATCTCGTAATTGTACTATGAACCAATTTACTCCATACATCTTACCATTAACTATTGTTTGACATAGTGCTATTGTATGTGTTGCAGTTTGCCCCGCCATTCCAATCCACCTAAACATAAAAAAGGGATGAAATGTTTAGGTCATGTGTTTGAAAATTAATAAAATATAATAAAATAACCAACACTTTTGTGGCAGTTAAGGTTGGAGAATGAATGATAAATTCATCTGTTTCTCTATCATATGTCGCAGTTGTTTCCAATCCACGTAAGAAAGAACCATGTCCCAATTCTGTCTAATATTATGAAACGTATACATATTAATGAAGAAAAAGAAAATTAGAAAGTTTCTAAACTTACCATAGCAAAACATCCTATAACTTTCCATTTTAAAATGTCATCTAAATAAGAATCATTTTGTTCATTTGTACCAAACAATTGGAATGATTGTAAAAATAATGTATCATGCACATAAATTTTCATCAGAAAACTTTCCGAATACATACTATCATTTTTATTTTTAAAAGAAAAAAATTCAATACACAAAAAAAAAAAAAAAAATAAAAAGAAAATAAAAAGAAAAAAGAAGACTTACGACATGGCAAGTTCAAACGCTTTAAGCATTAATGAATTTTTCAATGATCCTTTTAATTGCCTATACCTAAAGATTTGTCTCATAGTACTATATAAATAATAATTTATTAGGTATATACTATAAATATTTTTCAAAATGAAATAAATTATATAATATGTTTCTTACAATTCACGTTGCTCAGGTATTGTCAAATCAAAATGATGACCTGCTGGAAAACAAAGATCCGGATCACGTTGAATAATCAAGAAGGCAACTTGCTTTACATTACACCAAAAAAAAAAAAAATTCATCAAATTTCTGTAACCAAATTTTCAGCATATTTATATTGATATATCGATTTAATAAACTTACTAAGGCTTCAGCAAATTCTTTATCGCCCCAAAATAACCAATTCATATGTTTAATATTAAACGTAGCATTTTCTCGTTCTCGTTTTAAATCGACAGGACCTGTTGGTTGAGGCTGATTACTGATATGGTTATGAATAGCTGTTAATCGAACTAACGCATTTTTCTTGGACATTGCTTTGACACGAATAATTAACAATAGGAATTTTTTTATCGATTTTTTTAAAAAAAAAACTGGGAACTATGCATTTATTGCTCTGCCCAATCGATAT